AGTTGTCTCAAAATCTTCACATAATTGTTGTACTAATTTTATTCTACACTTTGTTGGTTCTGAAAGCCATTGTGGTTCTAAAATGATGTGATAAAATGCTTGTGCAAACTCGTGGCCAGAATTTCCACCCAAGTGACAAATTGATAGTGGTAAGTGTATCCATGGTGATATCTATTTTAAAAAATGGCCATATGCTTTATTAATATCTCGTTCTAAACTATCAAAAAGCTCACTAAAGTCATTATTATTTAGGATTTCTAATACTGTTTTCAGTTTATCCGCGAAAAATATTTCAAAATTTTCTTTAAGGGTAGAGTGAACATCGATCATTTTTACTAGTAATCACGTTACTAATTTTTTTACAATAATATTCAATTGAAATTAGGTGATAATTATATGATATTTATGTTGTGTAACTTAGGCAAATTTCGATCAACTTAGGAAGAATTAATGATATATGCAAGTATGTTTTCTTTAAATAATACAGGGGTTCAAATTATTATAATTAGAATTAGAGGGTCTAATATATCTACCCCAAAACTTTTATAAAAATTGATTATATTTTTAAAAACTTTTATATGTAACATGTGTTTGATTTTGTGTAATATTTTTTTGGTTGATCTATTTATATTAGAAATGATCTACGTTCACCCTACCCTTAAGATCATGCAAAAAACTAATCTATTCATTAACCTTATTAGGCATTTCATAAGCATACCGACCAGGTAGAAGTTGGATCAAATTATCATCTAATTTGATATAAGGTATTGGGTCCATTCCGACCATGAATTGCATTAGTGGTTTATAAAAGTACTCACTGAACTTGACTAAACACTGAACCTGAATATTTAATTTTTTATTTATAAGCTATTCTCTGAATAATCTCCAATCCAAAAGGTATGATACTGGTGTATCATGATTATTTTCAAGTGTTTTGATGAACCAATCTGCGAATTTTAAGTGTGTATTGTGCCAGGCTAAATATTATTTAGCAGTACGTAGCTTATAACCCACCATTTTCTAATTGGTAATTGGTACTATGAGAAATGAAATCCTAGTAGCTCGCTATATAATTTTTGAATATACTCTAATCTTATATTAAGGGCTTGCCTTTGTTGCTTGAATTATACTTATCATGTAAAAACCATGCTAGGTATAATAAATTATATAGTTGTGGGCTTCTTGAAAATCTAATTGATGAAAGTGATTTTCCAAACGTCTCTTCTTCAAAATGTGTTAGGACAATATGCATTATATACATTCCATAACCAATCTGCATTGTATTCATATTTATTTTTTATTAAATTGAACTACAGCACCTCTTTGACTACCTGACATATAGGATGTATTGTTAGTCATCCAAGTTAAGCAATTTTTTGAATCAAGACCATAATTTATAATCGCGGTAAGAACATTTTTTGCTACAGTCTGGCTAGTGCATTTTTGTAAATATTCAAGATTAGTTATAGCAACTGATGGCATATTCTTTTCATAGTTCCAAAACATTATATATATAACGAAATTTTTAATTTCTCTGCAAGTCGATTCATCACAAAGGATCTCAAATCATAAGCATTAGATGGTTTGATTTATCATTAATTCAATCTCAATTTGTGAGACTTCTTTATACCAAATACTTAATGTAGATTTTGATAACCATTCTTGAGGAGGTTCATCTATTAAAAACTCATAGACAAGACACAATGATTCCACGGTAGCAGTTAATGATGTTTGTCCAATTTGTGAAATTTTGGTGGAAAGCCAAACCATTTTAGATGAATATTTGTTTTAAAAATTGCATTAATTTGATTCTTGAATTCTTGATGTGTTAATTGTTTTCTTTTATATATTAATAACCTTATTGTTGAAACCCGCTTTTTCACTTTATTTTTGAGATGCCGATTCAAACTGCTTACGGATTGAACCTTATGTATTAGATTTTGATTATTCTTTGATAGTTTTCGGTTTACTGATTTTAGACTTGCATTCTCAGTTTCTAAAAACTTATGATTTTTACAATTTCTAGTATCTGTAATAAACTTAAGGGCTTTCTTTTGGAGATAACCCAAAATAATTTTGTCTTTATACTTTCCTTTTGGATTTCGCATTGACTCAATTAATGCATTTTTTTTTTTGTAGCTTCAGCATTTCACGAACTGTTTGAAATATCTTTTCCTCTTTTGCATGATTTATTATATTAGTCAGGATTTTATATACTTGGAAAGAGATTTAGAATTAATTTGAGGTACAATATTATGAATTTGTTGAACTTCATCTTGTTGAGCTTGGATATGCACCAAATGGCATTTTTGCTTTAGTAATTTTGGCATATCAAAATAATGATCAATTTATCAATTTTACAATTTTGCGATTCTCAAAAAATAGGTTCTTTTATTTAAAATAAAATTCTGACTTAATATTGTTCTTTTAATTAGTATTAACTGACAATAACGTCAACAGCTAAGTTATCACGAGAGACAATCGATAAATAACAAAAGACACAATAATTTAATTGGGCTGATAAGGTTGGTAAATTGATTATCACTTTTGTTTATTGTTAAAGATTATTTAAATGCATAATTATTGTATGAATAAACCCTTTTTTTTTAATTAAAGCATTGACATTAATATGTTTTTGGATACCGGCTTTTGTTTAAGGTTTTAGTATAACTATTTTTTTAATTGCGGCATTAGATTTTAGATATATAAATTCGATGTTAATACGGTTTTGGATAATCGGCTTTTGTTTGAGATTTTATGAATCATATTTTTTTATTTTAATTAAAGTGTCAGATTTTAAAATATATGAATTTGACATTAATTAAAATTCAACTAATATATTTTTGAATAATTTGCTTTTGTTCGAAGTTTTAGGAATCAATTAATTCAACATTAATACATTTTTGGATAATCGGCCTTTGTTTAAGAGTTTAAAAATCAATTTTTTATAATTTTAAATTCAATTATTACAGTTTTAGGTAGTTGGCTTTTGTTCAAGTTTGCATAAAAATTTTGCTATGCCGAGTTTGGTAATAGATTTTTGTTTGAGTTTTTATAATTTATTTTTTAAAAATAAAAGAAGATTAAAACAAAGAATGAGTTGATATTCAAATAATTAACACATATGTGAATATATGTATTTATTTATTTGCTTGAGTTTATAAAACACATCTATCAAATAAAATAACTATAATGATATATTTAATTATATAAAACTACTTATTGCATATTACTTCTATAAATAATGTATAATAACATCTAATTCTTCAATAATTCATGATTTTATTTTTTACTCTATTAAATAACACGATTTTTTACTATATTAAATAATACCTAATTCTTTAATAATTCACGATTAAAAATACCACCAAGACACTATCATTCACGTTATTCTTTTTAAAGGCATTTAAAGCTTATAGCAAAAAGAGAATAATGAAAGAAGTAAAGATAGCTAAATGTTACAGAAGAGAAATTAATAAACAGTATAGAAGAGAAAGAGAATTCAACGTATCTAACCAGTATTTGAAGAAGAATGATCAAAAACTTAAATTGGTCCAGGCCAACGGGGATCAAACACCAAAAAAAGCAGTGTAATGAATGCTTTTGATAAAGATATAATAAATTTTTGGGATTTGAAATTGCCAATTTTTTTTCAATTTGATGTAATTCTAAAATAGAACAAGATTTTTCAATAGAATTAATTTTTAAAATGTCATTATCAAATAAAGAGTTGATTGATTCTTTATATACTGTACTTATTTATTTGGGTGGCTTGTACATATGAGATCTATGATGTAAATGATGTTGTGAAAGTAATAAGAGTTAATAAAAGTATTTGTAGCACAGTAAAATAGTAGTCGCTTATTTTCTCATTTATATAGTATCACATAAGGTTAGGTTTAGTATTTGATTAGTAGCAGGTATATATTGTTAGTAAATTGTCACCTGCACGATGTTGAGACCTGCATAACAAATATTAAAATTTTTTGTGTTTTTAGAATTAAATAAAATTTCAATTAAAAAAAATTTTTTTAAAAACGCTCTATTTGTCTAAAATATAAGTTCTGCTGAGCATTTGAGCAAAGTTTTTAATCTAGTTAATATGTAACTTACGGAGGAGATACAATTTGAAGTTTAAAAATCTTATATTAAATGACTAAAAAATTATCAAATTTCAAATTGTATTTCTTCAATAATTTACATATTAACTTTAAAAATTTTACTCAATTGCTCAGCAGAACTTATATTTTAGACAAATAGAGCGCTTTTTTTAAAAAAATAAAAATTTGCAATAAATTTGTCGAAATTTGAGTTTTTTAATATGAATCATCGTCTTAGTTACACAAAAAAATTTCACTAGTTATTTTTACTATACATAAATTTGATTTACATAATGCATCGAACACCCCAATGTCACATGACTGCGCAGAAATGTTGTTGGCGTAAGTATAATGATGAGTGCGACAGATTAATTAAGAAATATATCATAAACGATAATTTTGTATGAAAACTGAGTCCTCCGCTATGCAAACAATAAAAATAGGCGTAGTTACTTTAGAGTACACTAAAATGAACCCGCAAATATAATTTTATTTGTGTGGGTTTGCTTATTCAAGAGTTATTGCAATTTAAATTTTATGCTTTTGCTATTACTACGTCAGCTAATTATAAAAAAATTTGGTTAATATGACTCTGCGGTATCACGAGATATCGTAGTACACAGAAAAATTATTCCAAATAAAAAAGATGAAAAAAAATTTTCTTTTTTGTTGCTGTAACTGCATCAGCCGGGAGTCGAACCCGGGCCACTCGCTTGGAAGGCGAGTATTCTGCCACTATACTACTGATGCCGTGTTATGTGTTGGTGAATTTTTTTATAATATAATATCCGTATTTTTTTTCCATGTATACGGATTTTTAAGTATTCACCAATCAGAGATAGAATTGTATTTTAGAATATCAACGAATATCAATATGACGAAAATTTATTTCCCTTTACCATGGCAAGTAATTTACCAGAATCAGATCTTTATATAGGTGAGAGAACAAGTAAACAACAAGGCTTCTTCCATTCGTTATGTTGTACTAATTTCAATCTTTATTAAAGATTACAAGGCTTTTTTATCGAATAATTTTGATCCTAAAGAGTATGCAAATTCTACTGTAAACTCCACCTCGGACGGTGAAAGCGATATAACAATATCACTTGCAAAATTGTCGTTTAGTATTGATAATTTAAATAAACAATTACATGATCAGGTTTAGCCTATAGAATTTTTTTTTTTTTTTGTATTTGCGTCAATTTATTTTTATTTGGAAAATTTCTAAATTACTTAACACGGTTATTAGGTTGTTACCCATTTCGAGGATTTAATTTTGCAAGCAGCTGGAATAAGAGATTTGGAAATTGTATTAAATTCTGTTAAAGAAGGAATTAAATCTCTTAATACATCTTTGGATAGGTAATTGTAAAATAAAAAGAATTAATTGAATATATTTAATAATGATTAAAAATTAACTAATCAAAAATTTCTCATTAGGCTTAAGACAAAAATATATACACCTTATTCACAAATAAAGAATTACATTATACAATTAGAAAGGTTACAAATTGCTTCAGATTTATTACGAAAAGTTGTTCGATTCTTTTATCTAGCAAGATGTTTAGAAAGTCAGTTGATAGATATTGAAAATGAAAGTGAAAAAAGCAATGAATATGTTAAAGCTGCTTCAAATATTAGTGAATTGGGTAAGCAGCTTTATATGGTAGGTTTATTCGATATTTAATGTATAATATGATGATAATAATTTCTCTTTACTTGATTGGCAGAGGCTCTTTTAAAAGAAGTTGATTTTGAAGGAATTGATCTTGTTCAAGCTCAACTTCCTAAAATTCGGCAATCAAAGACAAAGATTTCGAACGAAGCACATCGTTTGTTAACCGAAGGGATAGACAAACAGGTAGGTTATACTTAATAATTTAACGGTATAAATCGATGACATTCGACTCATTACATTATAATTTTTTCGATTTATGACTAGAAAGAAGTAGACATTGCTCTTGGTCTCCAAATATTTTATGAACTTAATGAAAGGGGAGAGTAGTGAAACCAGTCGATAGTTAAAAATCAACTTAAGTCAGTTAGTCGACTTAGCCAAGTCGGTTTTTGTAAAGCCGACTTAACCGATTATTAAGGTTCTCTTCCATAAACAAATTTCATTGGCTATTATATCAGGTCATAAGGTTCCGAATTTTACCCAATGCATCCCGAAAAAAATCAATACATCATTAGTTTAAATGAGAATAAAGAGGGGTATCCATAAATTGTAGGACTTGGCCCTATGTGATTAATTTTTTTTTTGATAAATTATGTTCCAATCCGGATAAATCTGTCATCCGTTTATCCGGATAATTCAGATCGCTCAGATATCCGGATAGAAAACGGCGGGTACATATAATCATTTCAAGATAATTTTTACAATAGCTTTACTGATTATCAATTGATTAATAAAAAATTGTTGACCAATAAATCACCACGTATGAAGTTTCAGTGCGTTTCTTAAATAGAATTAATAATCATCATGCATAATACTGTAATAAAAAAAAAGAACTTTTTTTTTTACTTAGCGCAATAATGCATCATGTCTCGCACGAAATAAATATTTAATTGAGAAAACCATAGTGATTATGCGTTTCGCACGAAGTCATATGATTTATAGAATGTATGCTAGCTTTACTTCGCGTGAGGTATAGTTCCAATCAGAAAACAAATGAAATAATACTTAAAAATCATAGTTCATATATCCTGTTCAGAGACACTAATCTAAATAAATTATGTGATTAATACCGTAGTCAAGATTAAAATAAAAAAGGGGAGAATTAATAAAGCTAAATAGGTATATTCTAAAGGAGGCTGTATAAATGTGTATTGAAATTCATGAGAAAGAGAATAAAAGATTAAATATTTTAAGAAAAAAAATTAAGAAAAAGCCTCAAATGTAATAATTAGTCAATGATCAGAAAATTAGATTAAATTAAATAGAAGTGATGAATTTTTTTTGATGTAAAAATGCATCTAAATGTCTATAAAAGTATAAATTAACTTAGTGGGTTAGTAATTACTTGATTAAAATAGATCAAAAAAATCTTTCTACATCTCAATATAAATTAGAAAATAATATTCTAGAATATAATTCTGCTTACATTAAACCTTATGAATTTCTTTGACATCCTATTTTCTTGAATATTTTACTTTTTCTAATCTTGAATATTCTACTTTATCATCATATATATTTAATTTAATTTTTACCAAATTCTTAAAATCTTAATTAATATATAATCTTAAATATATTGCCACATCTTCTAATTTTAAATATTTTACCTCTCTAATATATATTTATAAATATTTAATATTATTATATGATTCTAAATAATTTATATTGCTATTAAATGATTTTGAAAATCTTGCTATATACTTTTGGCTTCTAACTTTTCAAATATTCAAACTCTAAAAAAAGAAACAAAATAAAAAAATAGTAGAATATAATAAAATTTTTGCACTTCTTACTAGTATAAGTATACTTGGTTTCTATTTATATACAATATATTATTTATTAAAAAAAGTTTATTATATAGTGCCTTTCAATATAACAGATGCTATGGTTCTAGTTCTTTTCTCCGTTATATCAAAAGCTCCATAATATCAAAATCTCACAATATATTAAATATTATCCCTTAAACCGTATTCCAGGCAAATTTGCCTGGAAAATTGAAAAGTATTTATAAATTTTTAAATAAAATTAAAAATTATTAATAATATAGGGTATAATTTATATATACAATATTTTACTTAAAACATATTCTATAAGCTTTATTATGAAAATTTTTTAATTTTACTAGAAATCTTTAGAGTAATAAAAGTTTAAA